GTGTAGCCTGTCCCAATGTTAATTAAACCACTTGGCATACAAAAACACACAAGTCACATCACAATATTTCATGGACATCTGTCAGCAGACAACTTAAACTTTTCTAACAGCTCTAACAACAATCAAAAATAAAATAAAAAAATGAAAAGTGATGAAATTAACCAATCTCAAGGTTGTTTCACTACAGCTTAACAGCTTCATAAATTGGGAAGACTTACCTTAGCCTTAGTTTGGACCAATATACACCTTACCAAAAATAAGTATCACTCTCCCAAGCAACTACACTGTGGCCATACTTTTCATTAGAATATATGTAACACAGCAATTCAAATCAAACAAAGCTGATTAAATATACCCAGTGATATAGAATTGTTAATTGTATGCATAAGGTATAATTGAACCTGATTTAAAAGCATAAACTGGCATTTAGACAATCACCCATAGAAAAATGAAAGATAAAACAAAAGAATACAAAACAGATGATTCTGCTGAGGCCAACTGGGGATCAAGGAGACAGAAGCAGTCATTCAGAAATAAACAGAGATACACAAGTCAACTGTTAACCAGCTCCACAGGCGGCCCTGTGCATGAAACACACAGCCAGGCAGACAAGCTCTAAACTAGCTCTCATATCTGAGGATGAAAGCGAGCACATAGTCATAGTTACAGAACCAGGACTGCACTAAAAATCAGGTCAAGCTCAAACATCTACAGTATAAACAAAGGTATTGATGGCAGCAGCAGATCTGATTTTTCTCTCTATGAGTGTGTGACAGCCAAACAGACCAGATAAAGCTACTATGATGAGAAAGAGCAGAGAGAGCATATTGTTAGAGATTGAACTAAGGAATACTGTACCATAGAGTGGGAGAATAGAGATACAGACTGACGCAGAATGTTGAAAAGAGGCTCCTATGTCCTCCAGCTGTCTAAGCCTATAGCAGCATAACTATAGATATAGCTCATGATAACCTGAGCGACTCTAACTATAATCTTTATCATAAAGGAAATTATAACTAAAAGATCTGCCTTCCATTCTACTTTTAGAAATTCTAGGAGAAATTCTAGGAAATTCTAATAAACCTGAAGATTAAGAGCGAAGCACACTTTCAGGAACATAAGGAACAATCATATCTCTGATATAAGTTGGAGCTTGGCCATTTAAGGATTTAAATGTGAGAAAGAGGATTTTAACTTCTATACTGGGTTTAACAAGAAGCCAATGAAGAGAAGCCAGGATAGGAGAGATATGATCTCTCTTTTTAATTTTCATCAGAACTCTGGCTGCAGCATTTTGGATCAGCTG